TCATGAATAATATGGATTAAGGGTATGGAGCAGTGCTCTGACTCCCCAGATTTACACCTTTTACTTGCCAATGTATAATAAGTGCCTTACAAACCACTTTTCTCATTAATCAGTGCTGGTGGATGTGGCAATGAAGGTGTTACTGCAAATCAGCAGAATTTTCCCCCATTAATGTAACTGTTACAATAAAGGTATCTGACACAGGAGCCTTATGATCTCACCTCATTATAAGAGGAACCACTACAGTTTAATAGTGTTAATTTAGCTAACAATATATATTGCTTGGTCAATCTTCTTCTGAAGGTGGAACAAAATCTGTGGCCTTTGTAAGAAGCTCATTAGTTAAAGTTGAAAAGCTCTGATGTGGCAGGGTGTCCTTCTTCCCTCTCCTCAGTGCATTATTTTGTGACACACGGAGCAGGTGAAGACTTTCAGTGGGAGATAGGAAAGAGACTGAGCTAAATAATCATTCCCATGGTATGAGCCACGGCAAAAAATTGATTATACAGACCACGGGTGTGGAGGAATGAGTAGTGCATATCATGCATATTTATATCTATGTCTAAACCATATTTGTGTACGCACACAAACTGTGGTACATATAAATTAGTTACTTCAAAGCTAGAAGACCAAATTCATTCACCCTACAGTTTTCAGCAGGGTGATGACTCCAGTCACAAGGTGCTGATTACCTGCAGCTCAGTGGGACTTCCTCAACTTCATACAGAAATGTTGATTTATCAATGATTAAAAAGTACTGAGGCCTAGACCAACTCACAAATTCTTAGTTCTTTAGTACTTTAATATTATTTGACTCAAAATGTGCAAAGTCTGCCACTGCTCAGTACGCAGCATGTAACTTCATGATGCTCACTTTTTCCCTTCTAAATCTGAAGTTCGTTTGGGTTCCAAAATATTGTTTTGGAAATTGATCTTGCTTTTATTGAAGTTAATAAGGATGTTCTGATCTCCTTGAATTGTCCAAGATCAGGCCCTCACCGAACACACATATACTGGGCAAAAGGAAAACCACTATATGAAAAGAATGTAGTTGCAAATTTATTTTTAAAAAATGTTCTCTTGTGCTGATATAGGATGAGATCAGGAAGAAGTTAGATTAGTTTCCCATGGAATGACTGGCTGTAGTACTCCCTGCAGCTCTAACAGGACAGTGGCTTCAGTGCAACCCTTCTCAAAGAGCACTTGGGCTCTGTTGGTCAAAGTGTATTTCTGCTGATTTTGCTCCCATATGAGGTTACCTAGTGTTTCAGGAGAGTAAAAAAATATCTACTTGTGGTTTTGAGGAGAGGTGAAGCTTTGGGAGGATTAAGAAAGCGCTGCACTAGTTATGTCTAGATAAAAAATAATGTTCCCAGAAACCATCACCTAATACCTTCCACCACTCCTTTTCTTCTAAGGAAAACTTAGGTAAGTAGTTTGATCATCCAATTTTCCATTTAGATTTTCAAAAACTGCTGAAGAAGCAAGTTTGCTAGTAAAATTATCTTCCTTTTGTTTTCAGCAGGTGTTGCATCTCAAGCAAGAAATTACTTAGACTGATCACAGTCAGATATGATTTTGAATTACTACAAATGAAGTAAAAATATTTAAGTCCCATAAATCATTGTCTGGGACTGAGAGGAGTGACAAGTCACTGCAATCTATGTGACGAAGCAGTAAATTTTTGGACACATTGGTGTAAACAATGAAATGACTTCTGTAATTAATTCTTCACAAAGGCATTCAGAGAGTAGTAGAAAAAATAGGAAAGGATAAGATGGGATGAGTTCATCACTTGAAGATTCTCAAGTTGTTTTGCTGGTTTGTTGTACAAATGATGCCTTCTGCACTGAGCTCTGTAAAAACATTCAGCTGCTTGTTTTCATGTTTCTTAGTTATCATTTTCACTCACAGGGATTCAGCATTTCATGAACAAGCACCCCAAACACAACTCCAGTGAACTCAGCATCTGTTGGGGAGGTTTGCTCTCACTGGAGGTGGATCAGCTTACAGAAAATATCACAGATCTTTTTTTTTATTCCTCCCCTGCTTAAATTATACACATCTTAGAGAGAAAAACGCTTGGAGGCAAGAATTTGTAGGTAGTTTCTGGATGGAACTCTGCTGATTAGCACTGCAACAGCATCTGAGACCGAGGGTCTGTTGCTATGCTTCGATACAGAGAGGAAGAGATCCAGTCAAATGTTTCTGTTCCCAAAGCTGGTCTTGTGGTAAAGCTGATAGAGCACCTATTTAAAATGAGTAACTCCTTGTAGGGATGGAGTTGAGCAATGACAGCAGTCTGTGAAGTCTGATATCTAAACGGATTGCTCCTCTGAAGTTATTTCTTATATCCTGTAAATGTTAGCAGGGCCACTCTAGCTTTATCTCTGTACACTTAATGTGTCAGTCACTCATCTCTGAACATACAGACTCTGTAAGGTTCTGACTACACTCCTTCCTATAGCATTCTTTTGTGATGTTGTATTTAATAAACGTGTTTTTTTCTAGGAATGAAGTTATTTTTAGGTTTTTTCCTGACAGACTTGCTTGTCAGATACATGCCTCTGAATTACTCTCTACATTTTCTCAAAATCAGGTCTATCTCACACTAGCCTTCATTTCATATAGATCCATAAACTGATTTTGCTGCTACAACAGAACAGCCTTCTCTTATCACATGCATTACATTTTTCTGCCAGTCATGAATTCACTTCACTTCACATGCATTCACTTGCTTAATCTCTACATGAAATCATTACAACTCGAAGCTGACGTAGTCTTTCCAAACGGTTCCCGAACAGTAAATCATGCCACATTCCACTTTCTTCCCACTCTGCGCTACACAATTTATCACTAAATGAAAGCTACACGGAAAATGCACTTGAATCCGGCAGTGAATCACAATAGAGAGTGTTGGTAACAAAGCCCTTACCTTTTTAAATGCATGATGCTCTCTAAGTCTCCAAGAAATCGCAGCCCAAGAAGCAGGTCCGCCTCGCGGTGCGCGGTGACAGTTTACACCCTATTTTCCTCACCTCCCTTCTTACAGCATGCCACATCTAGTTCACGCTGCTGTCTCCGGGATTGGCTGGTGCATCTCAGAGGCGCACACAGGACTCCAGCCTGGAGCACCCTGCAGCCCTGCCTTAACCCTTTGCGGTGAAGCCTCCGCTCCCTCTGCGGGCGGCCCCGCACGGGCTGGCGGCTGCGGGGCACGCACCGCTCCCTGGATGGGAGGGGGGGTGTTTTCTCTTCCCCGCACAAAAAGGAGCTGCCCTCGGCTGCCGAGGATGGGGAGGGGCGAGCCGGGGGTCCCGCAGCCGGAGCAGCCCCTCCTGCTGCCGGGGAGGGCGGCGTGTCCCCCCGACCTCCGCCTTGTCACCGGCCCCTCCCGGCTCTGCCCCGAGCACACACAGAGGAGCTGGGCAGATGAAGCCCGGGAGGGTGAGAAGGCAGGCTGGACGCTGACAGGTCCTTAAAGGTGTTCCCTCTGCCAGGGCCACCTCCCTGGATGTCCGTCTGCCGCGGCCACTATGGGAAATCGGGAAATGAACTCCCGGCCAAAAGGGAGTCCCAGATCCACGCAGCTCCAGGGCAGATAGAGGTAATCCTTGGCAGTGAAGCCAGACACGGGCAAGCAGGGAGCTTGGACATCTAAATACAGGGAAGAGAGATGTTTGGGAGCGTTCTCTCGGGAATGGGCCGCGGGGCTCCGGAGGTATTTCCACTCCGCCAATGTATTGTACAAAAAGAAAAAGAACCAACTACGGCAAAGGAAAAGCCGCCCCGCTGCTGCCCATTATTCTTATTTTTTTTCTGAGTCATCCAGCCCCATGTGAGAAGGAGGCATCCCTGGGCTGGGGGTGCGGAATGCTGGAAATTAAGGGTAGTGGGAATATTCTCTACCACGGCTGACTGTCGCTTGTTGCAATCGCCCATTAAGCCCACGTTACTTGCATTGATTTATTCGGTGCTGTAAGCAAAGGGGTTGATGTGCATCCCCTCGCCTTCCGCTGAGTACAGCAATGCCACCCGGTCCAACCTGTGTCACTTTTGCTGCCCAGACACCGTTTTACTGCCATCCGTCACAGCGCCTGTGAGCTAAACAACTCCACTGCCCTCATGCTGTATCTTACCGTCTCCCATCCCCGGCAGCAGAGGGAAAATCGAGTGCTCTTAAACCCGGGAAATATTCTGCTGATGGGCACATAAATCTCTTCTGCAGAGCGGTAACATTTAAGCAGCACGGCAAGGCGATGCTCACTGGCTGAGCTATTCCCACTATAACATAAATCCCTCAGGACTTGCTGGTTTGTTTTGGTTTTTTTTTGTTTTTTTTTTTTTTTTTTTTCTTTACTAAAGGTTTAGGGGGTGGGGGGAAGATTAAAAATCAGGAAGAGGTTTTGAAACGCACTCCCTGCCCAGGGAGGGAAGGGGGGTATGACTGCACGGAAACTTTCCTGAGCAGCCTGGTGCAGGAGGATCCCGGCAGCAGCAGCAGCGCCAGAGGCAGGGAATTCAGGGGAAATGTCTGGGATTTGGTTCATCACCTCAGTCTCATGGAAAGGTCCGGGGCAGGAGGAGGTGGGGGCTGAGGGGGAAGTCAATGGGAATGGGAAAAACCTGCTGGAGTCTCCGGGAGAAGGACGCTGAGCTGGAAGAAGATAAGTAGGCATGGGAGCTTCGAGCTGGTGGGAGAAAAGAGGAGCTGGAGGAAGGGTGGGTTTTGGATCCCGTGCTTGAAGGGCTTTTTCACTACTCCTTTCCAGACATCAGCCAGCAATCTGGCGGCCGAGGGGGGAGGCATAGGGCGGTGAGGGGGAGGATGGAGGGAAGAACAGGAGGGGAGCACACTCTGGCATTGAATTGGTCTTTCCCGTCTTCTGCATGCCACCAGGCAATAAATTCGGATCTTGTTATTTCTCCCTGGCATCGCTACCTGCCTGCAAGCCTTGAGCCCCTTCCTGGTGATCTCCGCAGGTACTGCTTTGGAGACATGACCGCGCACACACAGACACACATACACACTTATCCTGCACCCAAATGACAGAGTTACACGGAGCCCAGTCAGACACAGCATGTTTCCTCCCTACCTTCTGCTATTGACCGTGGGAGGATCTCTGCCGCTAATTAGAGACACTGAAATCCTGGAAGTATCAACCACAAATAGCACTCTGAAGGCACCCGTCCTTTTTTAAATGTAATGTGTTTATTCCCCTTGGCTCTCCTCTCTTTTTCTCTCAAAGAAGCCCCTACTTAATTCAAGAGCCCTACCTCTACCATCTAGCTCAGGTACACCTATAGATGGGGGTACGTTTCTCCTCCTCGGGAGCCAATTTTTGGCCAGCGAAAAATACAGGCATGCCCGAAAATAGTGATAAATGAAATCGGGTGCGATGGGATTGGGAAGTGAGGAAAGGGCTAGGAGCGAGCGGCGGCTGGACAGAAGCCCTGGCAGCAGCAGGACAGAAGCCCCGGCCCCCCCGCCTGGCCACTGCCCCCTCCCAGCACATGCGACGGGACCTGAGGTCTGGAAATCCTTTCCTATCCCTTCTGGAGAATCCTTCCCCACCCCCAATCCTGTGCAAGTTCTTCAGGGGATGGGGAAGAGCGGTGAACTTTTGCACCTGATCTCCCCCCGCAGGCTCCCAGGCATTCCTGAGGCACGCTCCCGGCTGCCTCAGGCAGCAGCAATGAGGGAGGAACGCTGAGCCCTTCCAGCCGCTCCGTCTGCAAGGGTTAACCGGGGAATGGAGCAGGTACCGCGCCTGATGGAAACATGAATAAAATGTGATGAATAAGCAGTGGAACGGTGGCGCTGGAAGCGGTGCTGCGGTGCGCGCTGCAATCAGCGCCGAGCGCGGCGGCTGGGGATGAACGTGAGCAGAAAACCGGTGCTTCCTAATTCCTTCGAGTTCAGAAAGTGGAGACAGCCCGCTCGGGAATAAGGGGACGCAAAACTTTTTTTTTTTTAAATTATCTTTTCTCTTATTTTTTATTTTTCCCTGCTGTTTTTAGTGTCCTTCCTGCTGGAAGCACGCCACCTGAACGCGAAATCAAACCTACTCACCGGGTGAAATTGCAGGAGGCGAAGCGGCCGTGAATAAAACGCATCCCGGCTCCAAGCATATAGTCCATGATCTGCGGCTTCAAGCTAAAGGATGGGTGAGCAGGGTGGGGGAACTTTGGGAACCAGCAGCGGTTCTGTGTGTGTGACAACCCATTTACACCGTGCGTGCCTGTCTGTGTGTGTGTGTAGGGCAGAGAGAGGCTCCAAACCCGAAAGGGGGGAAAGAGGGAGGGGAGAAGGAGGAGGAGAGAGGGAAGCAAACCCGAATAGCAAGAGGAGTTGCGAAGAGGGATGGGATTCGCTGGGGTAGGTGTGGGGGTTTTTTGGTGGTGATGGAAGCGATTCTCGAGGAAAGAATAACAAATTGTGGGATCTCAGCCGCAGGCAGGAGGAGAGGGGCTTTGCCCACGCAGGTGGAACGCAGACAAGACCGCAGCGAGGAGCGGGAGGCCGGAGCCAGCCGGGAGGGTCGGAGAGCACCGGGGGCTCATCCCGACCGGGGGGTGACGAGCACCGGGGCGGGGGCGAGCGGCGGAGGGGGCGGGGGAGCCGAGACCGAGATGGGGGAGCGCTGGGGCCGGGGGCAGCTCCCGGGGCACGGCGGGGACAGGGCTCGGCTCGGGGGCAGCTCCCGGGTCCGGGCACGGCTGGGACAGGGCTCGGCTTGGGGGCAGCTCCTGCAGGCTGCGGGTGGCGCGGCACCAGCTCCTCCTCCTCCTCCTCGTCCTCCTCCTCCTGCACCCGCAATCCAGCGAGCCGCGGCGGCGATACCGACCGGGTAAGAACATACGTGGTCCCTACCCTCGGCCAGCCCTTTGTTTCTCATCATTTTATTCCGTATTTTCCGCAGCCCTGCTCCCCGGCCGGCGCCGCTCTCCCTCGGACCCCGGCACGGAAGGGCGGCGGAGACCCCTGAGCGGGGAAGCGGCTTTTGGGAGCGACCCTGCGGCCAGGAGCGATTGAGGGAGAGGGGATGGGCGGAAATTCCCCTGCTCATCACCCGAGTCCCTCTCCTGCCCCGGGTAAGCGGAGCATCGGCCCTCCATTTCCCCCGCTTCTCGATGCTTCCAGCCTCTCGGCATGGAAATAATGGAAAAATCCCCCTTTTCCTCGCATAGCGGCTCCGGAATGCGTGCGGAATTTGAAGGTGTGTGAGGTCCAGCATTTATGGAGCTTGATACATGTCCCCCCACTCTCCTGGTCCCTCTTCTACACCCGTGCTGTGACCAGACACGCGTTCATGGCTAATAAAAATGCTTTTCCCTGGGCACAGTCGGGCCGAGAGCTCAGCACGGGTAAGCTGCAGGCAGTCCGTGTCAGGAGCAGCGTGCAGGGCTGTGTGCACCCCTGGCCGGGCAGGATGGGTGAGCAGTAACCATGAGATGATGCGATGTGTGTGCCAGGCAATGTGGAGAGTTACAGCAGCACTGCTGCGTGCGCTCTCCAAAAGAGATGGCAATCTCTGGGTTGTTATTAAGAAGCTTTTTGTCTTCTTTCTATTGTCTCTGTAAGCAGCACTGTGAAGCGTTCGTGTCTGCTTGCCAGCCTGGCAGTTTCATGTTTCCAGAATCTGCTGGGGGGGAAAAGTCGGAAACCGCAGGAACCCAAGATTCCTCTGGCACCACATTGGTTCGTTCCTGTCAGCATGTCTAATTATTCTTATGCTAAAGAATCGTGGAGTGAAATGAATCTTAGCAGTGATTTACGCTGCTTGGGGCTTTATTGATTTTTTTTTTCTTTAGCGAGGATGTAAGAAAAGGAGTGAAGGAAGAATGATATGGTTTGTAAAGAAAAGAATTCAGTGTACATTTCAAGTGTGGTCGCTGTTAAATATGTCGATATAGATACGATTCTTTATGCAGTTATAAACACAAAAGGTCTCTTTGCCTCAGGATGTGATTTCTCTTACAGCCACAGGCTCCTCTGCCCCCTTCTCTCCCCTTATCTCCTCCCCTTCAGCTCCTCCTGACAGAATGAGGTTTAAAAGGTCAGCTTTTATGTAAATATTGTGCCTTCCTTAACAAAGACAGCTGCACATCAAGCCTGCAATGACTGTCAAATAGACTTGGGGTTCAAGGCATCCCATAAGGGCACTGTCCGTTTTCTAAGACTGATAAAATCTCGCAGAAAACAAAGGACAGACGTGGTGCGTGCCTGGGATGGACCAACAGCACCAGGGAGCACATGGGCAGCAGCACCGCCACGGCAGAGTTTGGTACTGCAGTGTCCATCGGGCCTTCCCACCGCATGTGTGCGACAGAGGGACCCACAGAATGCATAAAAAGAGATTTGCTGCTATGCTAATGCCTTTCTGCTCTTTCCATCAGGTTTCTTCTTCTTTCAAGTGATGTTCTAGGCTGAACTCTCTTTGCAGCTCCTTCACAGCAAAGGTAGCTTCAATCAGCCAAGGAGGATTTTGAGTCTGACCAACCTCATCCTCCCAAGGAAAGAGATGGACTTCATCAGTCTCTGGCTCAGACACTTCACAATTAGATGCAGTTTCTACTTCATAGCATCCAGAGGTGCAGTGCATATAATCTGTGCTCTCTTTCCCTCCCTGCCACCTTCTTTCACTTACAGAGCAGGACACCTTGGTTTCCTCAAGTAGCATCAACTCTTCTGGTTCTTTTCCACTTTAAATTGAATAAGAATATTCTGATATTATTCACTTTCGAGAATCATGGAATAGTTCATTTGTGAAGGGACCTTAAAGATGATCTAATTCCAGCCCCTTTAATAAGAATATTCTGATATTATTCACTTTATAGAATCATAGAATTATGGAATAGTTCATTTGTGAAGGGACCTTAAAGATGATCTAATTCCAGCCCCTTTCTACATCCCACTAGAACAGGCTGCTCAGAAAAGATTATGCCCATTACCAAAAGGTTAAAGAGATACTTTGGAATTACAACACAGATCTTTCCCTGTGGTCAACTCCAAGTCCTAATTGCCGCCACAGTTTGATTTGAGCCCTTAAAATAATTCTGAAGAAGAGTTAAAGGGTTGTAGAGGATTATGATGCCTTTTGTTCAGTGATTAATAACATGTGGCCTTAAAATATGATATTATAAAATCTCATTTTAGGGCAGAGTACTGAAGTCACAAATAATGGAACAAACTACACTTGAGCGAGGCAGAAACTTAAAAAATGCTAAATCCAGACTGAGACCTCATGTGAGGGAGGAGTGGAACGTCATATTCTCTCTTCCCAAAAGCCTTGTGGCCCTGAATTAGAGTCATTAGAGTCCTTTGTCCTGTAAATCTGCATTTAACAGCAGTGTATATCTGTGTAAACACATTTTAACAGCTTATCCTATAATTTTTTTTTTCCTACTTCCTATGATCAACCTTTTGGTCCTCTTTCTTCCAGAGCCTGCTAAGTGCTTCTCTTAAACTACTGAAAAATGTAATTTATTAAGGCAGTTCAGTAGCTAGTCTTAGCTTGCAACAGGCAAACCTATTATGCAGACAATACTGTCACCTTCTTGCAGTGACTTCCTTCTCCCAGCTTTAATGAATTCCCTGCATGCTACTCTGCTGTAAATTCTCCATCTAAAAATTCCATCCACTGTGTGATGTGTCAGGGGAAACTACACTTGACTTTTGAAACAGTTGGGAGGAGCAGAATGATAACCTACTAAAGTGCCTTGCCCTTAACACAAATTATGGCAAGCAATTAAAGTTGGAGCAAAAAGACTTAAGCTTTGGACTGCTTATGTTCTTAGTGTTTTAACTTGGGTGAAATTTTTTTAGAAGTCTGATTTGAATGTCAAATTTGCATATTTATCCAGAAAACAAAGGGAGTGCTTAATTGCCTGTGTCCAGCATTCATATTTTGCTTGGGAAACAATGCTTCACATATTCATGAGTTTCATTTCCAGCTACTGTTTGCACCCATAAGTTGACCTGTGTATCTAAACGAGCCCTGTAGTTGCTCATTACAGAAACCAGTGTGCCATATTTAGGATATATCAGAGACACCTGGCCACAGAGGAGATGCTTCTGCTCCCCTGGTGCAGTGGGTCTGGCTGGGGTGGGGTTCATGCTCCCAGAGCATCCCTCAGTGCTGTGCTTTGCCCTGGGAGGTGGAGAGGAGCAGGTAACAAACACACCAGGTTTGGCTGCTGCTGGGCAGGGCTGGCACAGCTCCACTCTGTCCTCAACATTCCCTGCCATGGAGGGGCAGGGAGAGGGCACAGCTAGACCAGACTGACCAAATGGACATTCCAGAGCAATGGCATCAGCTCAGAGACAAAAGCTGAGTGGGGATGGAGGACTGGGCAGGAGGATGTGTTATTTACAGTATTTACCTTCCAGAGCAGCAGCTCCATGTGCTGCAGCCCTGCTTCCCAGGAAGAAGCCAGACCTTGCTAGCTGGTCTTGCTAGGAAGTAGAGAATAAAATCTTCCTTGAGAGCACACAACATTTTACTTCAGTTTTAGTAAACTGCCTCATCTCAAGCTCTGAGTTGTTTTCCATCTTATTTTCTCTGCACTGTCCAGCTGGAAGGGGGAGTGGGTAGAGCAGCTTGGTGGGCACGTTGCATTAACAGAGATATGATTCAATTGAATGAAATTATGCCCACTGAGTTTTTTCTCACTTGCAGAGGAGATTTTTTTAGGATCTCTCAACATTTCACCTACAGAAAAATGAACCAATACTGTATTTTTTTTAAATTTTTTCCCCCAAAATATCAAAGATATAAAACATGTTTCCTTATTCACTTGCCCTGTCCTTTGGCAGCAGGGGACAAACTTAAAGGCTGGGGTTTTTTTTCAGGCTCTTGCTGTCATTGAAACGCCAGTTTTCTTAGAGAGAATAACCTCTTTGAAGAGATGCTATTTCTCTACTGCTTCCAGAAAGTGTTAATTGCAAGACCTGTAAGCTGAACTCAGCAGACATAGCCAGACACACGTGTCTAGGAGGGACACAAAGGCACCTGAGATGTGGAGGCATGAACTTCTCCAGGGCCTGCCAGCTTTCTGAGCCCTGTTCTTGAAAGATTTAAGGCTGTTCTGTTGACTTTTCACAGCTGCTGTCATCTGTGCCAGGCAGGGTGCTGCAAGCTTCTCTTCATGACTGTCCTGGGACAGGCTTGGCTTACACTTGTTAATTCTTAAGGGATATAAGGCACAGGATGTCTGCTGCCATACAGTGTGAGAGGGAAAATCAGCACTTTAAAGTGCTCCCGACCTTGACATTAAAGCTGAAAAGGTCAACAGGAAATGAGTTGTCTCCAAATCCACGAGACAATGGCAACAGCAATGTGCTGCAATATGTTACTGACTCTCTTACTAATTTTTTTGTGGCCATGTTTCAATGACCAATAGCCATGCAGGAAAAAAATATGGGTTTGCGATTTTTAGAATATCCTCTGATGTATTCAGGTATTTCTTCCACCTAACTGGACTTTACAAGATCACAAAAGTCTCTGTTAATTTCAAGAAATGTTTGTAGAGAAAATGGTAAAGGAGGCGATGCATTTGAAATCATGTTGAAGTGTTGTGGTGGAGATTCCTGTGTGTCAAATGCGTGTTTTTCTTTAGGAAAATGTATCCAGTTACTGAGAAGGCCTGTCATATGAAAGTGGTCTAATCTGTATTTCTGTAGTAGATGTGATGGCCAGAGAATGGAGGCCCCTTTGCCACAAGCACTGATTTTACAAGCAGTGTGAGAAGCACTGACCTCTGCAGATCTGGAGAGGAATTGAGGTGTAATTTTAGCGTGCTTGTGTTTAAATAAAGGAGTCATGCATCTTCTGTTGGGTTTTAGCCCCATGTGACCTTAGTGTTAACGCCAGAGTTAGGAAAAACCATACCAGCTGGTGCTGTGTTACTTCTGTGTAGTCAGAAAGGAGTCCCTTCCAGACGAGGCAAGATATTAGCACAAAAAGCCTCTTTTTATAGAGTTTGGATCTGAAATGCATTTGAATTAATGGTGTAGGACAGAAAAAGAGCTGAAATTAATAGAAGACCCCCTCAATGAATTTTCTCTGCATGTGTAAAAGAACAAGACCCATATTCAGAAAAAAAGGAGTATTTGGAAGGGTGGTGGAGTCAAGTGAAGTTCAGTTGATGCTTTGCAGAGTCAAGGAATTGCACAGTAGAAAGGCAGAGTTTTGCAAAGTGGCTGTGCTGTGAAGAAATTCTTGTAGAGAATGCGATTTGCATTTAGAAAATAGATTATTTTACAGATATTTGTTCCATTTGATAGTCATTCCCTGAATAACATCTGCTGCATTATCTCAATAAATCTGGTTATCTCCCACAGAAATGAGCTGAGCAAAAGATCTGTAGTAAGTTTTGAAAATAACCTTTGTTATTATGTGTCATTAACTCATAAGAATCAAACTACATGGCCACTAATGACACTGAACAAAAACAATACACTTTCTTGAACATTCTGTTCCATACATTTCCAGTCTCCAGCCTGCACTTAAAATACAGCAATTTTACAAGCATTTCTCATTTGCCTAGGCTATGCAGTTAATGAGATAGAGAAAGCATGAAGAATTTGTATGGATGAACTCCATTTACCTAATTTCCAACCCAAACATAACGATATGAAAAATAAGCGATATGTGTATAAAATTGCGTGTTCTTTTTTCGCTTTTCACAGTTCTTGTCTTGCAGCAGTCCAGGCTGAGTCATTGTGGCACACAACAGGTATGTGTCTTGTCAACAGCCATCACCCTTTTGACATTTCTCCCAGCTGCTGGGGGCGGAGAGCAGGGAGATATCAGCTTCTCTTCTCAGTCACAATGGAAAAGAGGCAGTAAAAAAAAACCCCACTTCCTCTTCCATCATTTATTTGATTAGGTTTGTCAGAGCAGCAGAGCACAAAGCCCACATGGATTTTGTGAAGCACTCTGGCTTGTAAGCATACATTTAAAACTTCAGCAGATGAGGATGGCTTCATGTCTTTAGCATGTATTCTGCTGAATCACATGACAGCAGGAATTTATTCTTTTAAAGTGTTGCAAAATGCTTTTACCAGAGCCATATTTCAGTTGCATTTCTTCAAAAGAGGTTGGAGAGAAAGTAAATGAAATCTCAGAACCTGGTTCAAAAAAGACATAAGCTCAATTTAAAGTTAGCTGCATTGATTTTGCTCAACCCTAGAAATAACATTCACCTTTTGGCATAACTCTGACACAGCAAAACACTTGTTCTTAGTAGGACATTAAGAAACCAGCTACCCATTCTCCTGCTTGTTTTTTATCAGATAAAGACATGAAAAGTAACAGTGCCAAAATGTATTAACATGGCATCATCTCAGTGTCCCTATTAGGTGTGCACTTTAAATGAGAGAGTAAAAAAACCCCTACAGGATAACAACAAAACAACCCTAAGGAAACATTCTCACTGAGCACTGCTTGGGCTGTCTAGAGGAAATGGAAGGTCTTCTCAACCTCTGCAGCTCCAGGGCTGCTGGAGATGGGCCTGCTCTTCCTCTGGGAATGCAGGGCAGGAGAAAGCTGCTCCTCTGGGAATGCAGTGGGCAAAGGCTGCTGTGCTGTTCCAGGCTCAGATTGTATCCAGGTAGGAATGCTTGGCTCCCCCCCTGGGCAGAGCATCTCCCAATGGATGATGGAATTTTATCAGCCATGCAGGGACACTCAGTGGCCATGAACAGAAGATAATTAATAATTATGGCCCATGAACAGCAGAGATCTCCTGGAGGGAGGATTGGCTGTGGGAGAGATAAAGAAAACTGCCCAATGAG